TTAAAAAAAAAAAAAAAAACGCATAATCCCGAGTACGCGCGACCCTCCACCACCGCTTTCCTCCCAACGGTTTTCTTTTCACGCGGTATCCAGTTCAAGGATGTCGAGTTTTCGCGGGAACGAAACCGATAAATCGCAATGACCGAACAGCTAACTGACTTGGATCATCCGTCACGCCTTTACCGATCTTGCTATACGAACTTAACGCGTATTTAGCACCGATCTAGCTTACGCGAGATCTAACTCTAATAATACTCCACCGTGTGGTAACGTTCGAAACATTTGCTTCTACAAAGCGGTACTCTGCAGAATTCGCACATGTAACACGTATCCTTACGTTTCCCGTGCACTCTACACACTCTGCACGATCTCTGAGGAAATTTTTTGGCGCCCGAACTTTGAATTTTTTGAAGGCGATGCTGCTTCATGTTCATTGAAAGCCTTTGTGGTGGATCCGCACGAGGAACACGTCTCCTAGTACCTAATATTGAAGGTTGGTTTTCGTCTGCTTCATTGCGTTATACGAATATCGTCGATATTAATAAGCGCGACGCACCGATCGCGAAACAATCGTCCGATCGTAAGTTAAAGAGATACTTTGGAGAGATCCAAGAACGCGAATGAATCGTATATCGTCGCGCGGTCCGAAAAATAATTACTTCGACTTGATTCTCGAGAATCGTTTCGAACGATTTAAAAGCTAGTACATCGGTTTTTCTCTTCTACTCCCGTCCACTTGACAAGACGACCAAATCATGAAAACCGCGCGAAACTAATTCGTAAACAATAACTAATAACCGCGACATTCGTCCTTCCTTCAATTTTCTTTCTCTCGTCCACTCTCTCTCTCTCTCTCTCTCTAACACCCTTGTTCTCTCTTTCTCTCTCATCCTCTCTATCCCCTATTGTCCACATCTACGTTTACTCTCTCTTTATCTATTTCTGCCTGGCTTGCTATTAGTTTAAACGGTGCTCTGTTACGAAATTTACGCGACAACCGATTGAAACGTAGGAATAAGAACGCTAGACATCGAAGGGGAGATGATATTATACCGTTGCATTACATTATATCAGGTGTATAAGCTCTACTTTTTCTTCGTTAGCTATAGAATACGAAAGAGTGTCGTGTTTCCTTTGGTCGGTGGTCACGGCGAAGTTACCGTGCATCGCACAGGATTTTTCCTTGCAGAGGAGAGAGAGGTCGCAATATCGCGTTGCGAGGCCAACGACAAAGACAAGCCACAAAGAAATAAAAAAAAAAATTATATACACATATTTATATATATACATTGGCAATATATTAACTGGAGCCATCGATAAATAGCCACGGTGGCGTCTTGGCGCGCCAACCTCGTTTCGTGATATTGTGATCGTTAAAAAAAAAAAGAAGAAGAACAGAAAAAAGAAGTAAGAAAAGTGTAAAGATAGACAAAAATATTAGGAAGTTGAAAATGAACGAAAAGTTACATGCCCTGTTCAGTAAAGTGAAAAGCTCTTTCAGAGACCGTGCTACTCTTGAACGTACCGGCGTCTAGGTTGAACCACGTTATTCGACGGCAAATGAAAATACGAGCCCTGTCACGCCTGCGCAATAGGCACCTTTCGTATGGTTATTCGTTCATTTACTTATTTCGGATAATCGCGATAACATTCTTTTATTCGGAAAAATTTCGGCTGAAACCGATCGACTTCGTCGGCGAGCTTTCGCGGTGATCGCGAACGTATATTTTTTCAGAGTATACGAATCGAACGAATTAGAGTACATGCTCGTTTCAACGGTCTGTACGATCGATGGACCGTAAGCGTACATACCGATGATTTTCGGGATGATTCTCGTACGATTGAAACCGGTATGAAAATACCGCGAGAGACAAGGGTGTAAAGTACAAGTGCCTATTGTTACGGCGGGCAGGAGCTGATGAAAAATGATGTGGATGAGCCTACCTTGAGAGTCGCGGTGGGCCTGGGCGGCCTCTTGGGCTGCGAGAAAGACTTCGTCTGTCGTTCCAGGAGCTCCTGCCACCGAGCCCACAACTCCTCCCGCGTTACTTCGATCTCCGGTAACGTGCCACGCGCCTATACCTGCTAAAAATTCGGACAAATAAAACCAGGCTGGTAAAACACGTTGCGCTACCATAGTCTAAATTACGCTATTTCAAATAGAAGTCGAAGCAAAAGGAATAATTATCAGGGAGAGAAAGATAAATGAAACGAAACTATGGTTGGCATTTTCTATATCTAATGAACACGACTAATTTTTAGGAACGAAGGGTAATATACGTATATGCTTTATTGTTCGCAATTTATGTTCGTTTAAGTACGAACAAAAACGTCATCGGATTCTGAAGCAGTCCGAAAATTAGTGAAATACAGGGTATCCTGATCATCGGAAATCGTACACACTCTCTTACAGAACGAATATAAGCCGGCAGTATCGTGTATCGTATTATATAAAGTAACGCATCCTTTTAATCATTCCCCCTCCCCTTATTTGCTATTCTTCGTCCCGCCATAATACATACACACATACGAACACGTTAATATATCTCGAGTTCTTTGCCTAATTATAACCCTACGATAACACTTAGAACAAAGAAGTAATACTGATAGTTTCCAAGCTACTTCGAAGTCTGACATTTTGTACACCATTCGTCGTGAATAAACGACTCGCACCGCGCGTTCAACGGAAACGTCAACGACTTATTTGTAACGGAAATAACACGACTACAAATTGTATTTCAACGATTAACGATTGATCGATACACATTGTTCAGACGTTATCTCGGTTCCTTGTCCAAGACGAGGCTCGATTCTTCGGTGATGCAACAACGAAAAACGAAATAATAACGATGCACGCTTCGGAATGTGAACGGGCAATGCGTATTTTGTTCATCGAATACGCGGCAACAAAATTTCAACCGATAATAAGAAAAAGGAAAAAGCAAGAAAAAGGGATGTAACAAATAACAAGAAATATCGCTCGCTTCCCCTTTCGCGTGGATTTCAAGCATCGATTCCTCCTCCTCCTCCAACGAACGAAGAAAATAAAAGTAAAAGAAAAAGGAAAAGAGACAAAAGAAGAAGAGAACAGCTACGATATGTATAAAGAAATGCTTCGTGCCAACTTCTCGAAAATTGACACGAAACACGCACAAGTTATGTATTCGTGGAACGCAAAGCGTGTAATAGTCACAAATTACATCGAAGATAAATGTACCAAAGTAAGTAGAAAACCGCACGGTTCTAAATACAGCAGAACAGAGCGGAACGGAACAGAACAGAATAGAATAGAATAGAATAGAATGGAATAAATCGTATATGTAGATATCGACCAATGAAATTACACATCGTCGCTTATCCGCGAATCTCGATGTTCGGAACACTGTTACACAAACGGTTAATTAAAAAGCACGTATGCTCTAAGGCTGTCTAGGCTGCACCAGGTTACTAGGTTGTTGTCTCCATCTCCTTCTGACGACGTTCAACTTTTTCAAATAGAACTGCAGGGTTGATCGATTAATGCCATACATCTCTGACGCCTGAGTGGTGCTAACCCCCTGCTGTAATATTGCTTCCAGGGACATTTTAACCGAGTCTAAACTATACTTTCTGCCCTGTTTGTTTGCCAGCGATTTAAGCAACGCGCCTACGTCAACGTCCGGGCGTGGCCGTCTCATGTTCGGCCCTTTTTTACATTCGAGGAAATGGGACGCCCAGAGGGCACCGCCACCACCACCCAAATTCCCTCTCGACCGAGACCGCGCTCCCGCTCCCGCCCCCCCACCTGCAACGAGGAAACCCAAGCTAGTGTCGGCCGATCATTGCACGACCCGTTTTAACATTTAACAAACTAAAAACGAAACGTTCGCGAAATTTTAACGGTTCATCGTAAGTGAAAGACGAGTCCTTTTTTTTTTCCTTCGATCAATTAACGTTTCAAATTCGAAACCTATACACAACTACGATATATATACATATATATATACGTATATATGGATACACATATTAAATATCTCCTGCTTATCGGTTACATTTTTTTTTTACGGTAGAAAGCTGTGCTTCGATTCAAAGTTTCTTTTTTGGATCGAAGTTTTGCTACTGCCATCGTCCATGCGATACACGGCATACGTTATTTATTATTCGACTATTTAAGGTTCGAGGGAATTCAATATTTTAGACGAAAAATGTCTGAACGCGTGTAATCGATTTAACAGAGTACTCGAAGAGTGCGTTGAAATTGGAATTGTTTCGCATCGCGTAAATTCGCGAAAATACCCTGTATTTCATTACGTTACGCGATTACTATGTAATATAAATAAAAGATGAAGGAGTACGTTTTACTCGACTTACCTGGATGTTGGGAAGGATCGTGAGAAGGGCCAGCTCTATTATTATCCGGTTCCATTTCGTTAAGATCATTCATATCGTCATCGAGCGTCAGATCTTCGACGGCTTCTTCTGGATCTTCCATATATTCCGACTTTGGCTCGATGAGATTATCGTTTGGTTCCGGTTTTTCTAACGGTATCTACGAAGAAAAGGACGCGCGTTACAAATTTTCCTCCCATAACCTTTTTCCAACAACTATGAAAAGAAAAATAACGCGCATCGGCGATCGTGTACCGTACCGTTTCCACGCTGTACGATCAAATCGAAACTGAAACCGAACAGCAGGATAAAGCACGACGCGTTTACTCTACCAACGAGCGAAAGAAACAGAGCAGCGTGGCAACAGCTTCTATTATAACGTTGGCACGCGATAAACGCGCTTTGTACCGCGTACCATAAAAAGCCGATTCGATATCGAGTTTTGTGAAACCTTACTTGCAGCATCTCGTCCGCAGGTCTCGTCAGCTGTGTCATTAAGGCTGACCTGCCAATAGAGTCTGCAGGGTCTGCGTGTGCTGTTTCTTCCGCGACAGGTGCAATTCCAAGTGCTGGAACAGCCACTTGCTGAGACATATCGTTTGAATTTGAGGCCTCGTGGTTCTCCATCGAATTATTATCTTCCCCGACGCTTCTTCTTCGAAACCTCTTTCTTTTTCTGGAAGTCGGACTTTGTGAACCTTCCCTGGAAAACGAACAATCATCGTGAACGTGAACGCGTGAACGACCTCGACTTTTGAAACGCGCATAAAACCATCGTTTTACGATAATTGGAAAATTCGAAAATTCCGCACAAGCTATTATTATACGCGTTCTCGCGTCTTCTTACCTCGACGAAAGACCTTTGGGTGGTATTTGAGGACTAGCCGAATCCTCAGGAATATCCCCAACAGATCCTTGCGGCAAACTCTGCCTAGGAACTTTATTTTTTTCTATGGTAAGGCTGGAAGCCCCTTGTGGAATGTCACACGGGGCTGCCGTAACTTGTGGCACGACTTTTTGTTGCCTCGAATCCATTTTGTTGCTGCCACTTGTTTTACTTTCGGATAACCCCTTAATTTGCAGTGATTCGGCGGCTTTAAGTAATGCCGCCAACTGATCCTGGGAGATATTAACTTCTCCCCTGTACATATAGTCCATCATAGCTTTTAATTCTTTAAATTTAACGTCTTTCAGGATAAACACGGGATGCTTATCATAATGCTCGCTGAGAAGTCCCTATAATAAAAACAATAGAGTTCAACACCGACCAATAAATACGATAAAACCACTCTAATTATTTTACTTGCACGCATTTCGATTTCGATTAAAAAACATGATACGTTATTTTAGTCGATTAGCGGCATCGAATAGTGTGCTGATATTTTGATACAAGTGGCCGAGTCCAATGAAAGAAGAAAAAAAAAAAATAATTAGGTGAAACAATTGGAAAAGAACGCGTATCCTTAACCGATCGAATCAACTTTCAATTATACAGAGGCATTATAAATGCATCAAATGTAATTCCACGATCGAAATTCAATTTGACGAGACAGTATCCCTTCGTGCATCCCCACCCGCGCCAGGATAAAATCCCAGGGCAAATGCCCTGGATATCGGCCATCTTGCTTTCTCTGTATTGATTACCAAGAGGAACCAGGAGGGGGTTTGGGCTTTCAATCCCCCCTGCCTCTTGGACATCTGTCCAAGTAACATTCAGCAAGAGCAGCCATCTTGTTTCAATTTCAGGTTCCGTTTTTATCGCCGTTTAAACTTTCAAGAATTTACAGAAATTTTAATCGTACGCCGTATCTAATGGAAATCGAAATGATACAAATTTTTCGCGACGAAAAATTATTAACAAATCCAATGACGCATACGAGAAAAATATAATTAAATACTCGAGTTACGAGTCGATATAGTCGATCGTGGGTAACAATTTTATATTCTTTGAATTAACATTTAATTCACGCCGACTTTAAAAGTACATATCTGCATATATATATAATATTAACGTATCGATCAATAACGAACGAGTCTAGAAAAGTTTTCCACTAAAAAGAAAAAAAAGAAAAGAAAAATAGGAAAGAAGACTTACCTCAAAATAGGGACTGCACGCCGAAAGTACCACTTTATGCGCTTTCAAATATTTTCCTTCGGCAGCTAACGTACAATCCACAAGAGTGCCGCTTTCTAGAAGTGTGTCGAAGTTTTGGATCAATGTACTCTGGTGGTTGTTCCACCTTAAGCAAAACTGTTGATCATCTTCCATTTTTTGTTAATTTCCTCGTTTCTGAAGAAATAAGAAAAACTAATGGTAACGAACGAACCAGATCGATATCCGTCGTTCGATATCGTCTCTAATGCTATCTACAAGTTTTATGCCCGATCAACGCGAACATCGAGCCGAAATATTCGAGAACACGCGAACGAGAACTTATACGGATTTATCTAATTTCCCGATCGATACTGAAACACGGGTTAAAGCTTCGGCAGGAAGCACCGAAGCTTCCAAAATGGCCGTACGATGCAAGCGCGTCGGTTGAATTAGTCTTCTGGCCTTTTCCTTTGTGCGTGTCCTCATAACGGTAATGGACGGATTTGGTGGGGATGATGCAGGAGGACGCGCAAGTATCACGCATGCGCAACTGCGCCCGAGCTGCGCACCAGCTTGCGCACTAGCTTTGAGGCCCCTGGAATTCAGGGGCGTCTGCTGGATATTCCAGTACCCGGGGTTAACGCCGAAACGCTTTTACTCGTTGAACCGTTCGATCGAACGACAACAAGCGATAACAGTTAAACGAATTTATTCAACGAACAAAATAATAGAAGAAAAATACAAAACGGGAGTATCGAAATAATTCAAAATTACGAAACAACAAAATGTAGTTTTTTTTTCTACCTCTTTACCGTAAACTATTATCTAGTAACGCCTTTTCGACATATTCGTCGGTAGACTCCCGTCTACGATGTTTCTAACCGTTATTCGTATGACTATCGATTTTCTAATTAACGCGTTAGGAACGGAAAAGGAAAAATGTGACGAACCAAACGCGCGAGCCGGTACTATTATTTCAAAGTACAAAAAAAAAGGAAAAAAAAAAGATGGAAGGGTAACGCACGATATACGTCAGCGAAGTTTACATCATAGACGCGCAATATAAAACGGAAAATCGATTATTAGCTTCACATGCGCAACGCGTACGCTTCTGTATGATGGGTGGGGGCATCGCGACAATGTAAGTATGCACGCATGAAGATTACTGCGAAATAAAGCGAAGAGCATTCACCACTGTCTTACGCGCGATTGCGTAATCTATTTATATCGTTATCTCGTATCGAATATTACGTCAGATGGCGCCGAGCAACGTGTGCGAAATAAAAACAAGTTGGAGACAGATAATTTTTCCAATCGCGTCTATCGACCGGCGAAAAAGAACGATGCACTTTCCTCGCGAGGAGAAACTATGGGAGGAGAGGAGACGTGGATCGCAATATGGCCGTCCGTGAGGTCGCGCCCGAACAAAATGGCGATGTTGGAAAAGCTCGCAAGCAAAAATATGAGGCAAAATGTCATCGTTAACGTTGAAATTTCCCGTTAAAGCGCCGTCTGGACAAAAACACGAAAATCGCAAACACTTACTTCACCGGGAAATTTCTCTGCGACGTTGATACGGGAAAGATGATGTATTCGTAAAAATACATAGAGGATCCGCCCGCACCATGTCACCCCATCTTACGATTTTCCAGAATTTCCTTGCGAGCTTCGACGAAATTGGGAAACTTTACGAAAAATCGTTTACGCGTTGTAACACTCACCTAATAAATGATATAAAACAATCTAATATCACAGCACGGGATGGGTAAATAGTGAAAAACTGCGTAAGCGTCCAAACTCGGCGTGCGCCTCGAGCGCTGCCCTTTTCAACAATGGCGAAGCGTAAAGGCCTGCTAGCTTGCCTGCACATCGACCGTCAGAGAGCGCAGGCTTCCCCGGAAGAGGGTACGAGAGAAGAAAAAAAAAAACCCAAGGAAACTAACGAGCATGCGCTCTACTCCTAAAAGCTACGATCGCTTGTCGAGATTGGAAATCGCAGCCAGAGGACGCTAACCGACAAAACACATTTTTCCATTTCGATTCGTCAGAGGAGCAACGAACGAGTAACGCGCCTTTTGCGCCAAACAAACGGCGATGCGAGATACAAGGAAAATATCATGGCACAGCAGAACTTCGTTTTCTATAGAAATGTATTTAACCGTGAAAACCTTTGAAAATATACGGATCAATAATTGATCGATAACGATAAATTGTTCGAATTCAAATAGGAACAGATAAAAGACATATTTTTCTCGAACATATTTTTAAATGCGCAACGCGGCGCGTTTTGCCTAACCATAATTTTAATTAACGTCGAATAACGAAAATACGATCTTCCAGACACGCACGCACAAGAGAAAAAAGGAACGAAAAGAAATACGAATCCGCTTAATAGTAACACCATAAAACTAGCCGAAAATACACCCTCGTAACGATAACACTAGATATCTTGTAAGAAAAGAACCGAAACATAGACTCGTACGATAAAAATAATCGAATCAACGATACGTAGAAAGTATAGTGTCTCGTATGTTATTAACCGGCCCTGGACCGCAACCTGGCACGCGTACATAATGGCCGACTTTGCAGGCTTGGCAGAGGCAAAATGGCGAAAATGGAAATGATTTAGTTAGAAAACGCGAAACAAATAAAATCTCGGCACGCACACGTTTTTCGCAAAGTTGTAGGTACCGTCGATTCACACTTTCTTACAAGATAACGTGGTTTAACGAAAAATTCGCATTGATCGCCATATCAAATCGACCTGGTTTTCACGACGCTAAATAAATAAATAATTCGAACTAGAAACTAACGATTACGGCACAAATGATAAATAAATATACACCCAAGTTACTCACCTTTTATTGGCACAATTAAAATATCACAAGAGGAAAATGGAAAACGCGTTCTGCCCTCGGCGTACACTATCCAAGCGTCGTGGGTACTTTTTACACGATGGCCGTAGTGCTGCGCGTTAACGATCGACCCGTTCTGCGAGGGGATAACCGGGATATACGGAAACAGTGTGCTCGATCGTGGGGAGACGCGGCGCAGAACACGAAGTTTGGCCCTTTGCGCAACAAGATACGAACAGTGGGGCAAAGAGAACGGTCGGTTAACGCAGGATCGTACGAAGACTTTTAGAACCCGAGACTATTTATAGGGTCGCACGACATACGTAAAATTCATGGAAATACATGCACGAGGCACGGAAGATGGTTTTGATGGAAGATAGACGACGCGACTAACAACGTTTCACGAGGAAACGCGATTCGCGCGTCTCGATTGAACAGGCTAGAAATAATGCACGGTAGCTGGCATTATATACCGTACAGAATTGAAAATTGTATCGGTCGCAACGGTAGAAGACTCGGGTAATCTATGTCTTTGACTAAACGTTCGAACGTTTAACGAAGAAGCTTCATCGCGGAAATTGTTTGAACGATAAAATTGATACGATCCTGATTTTCGCCGGTCTTTACGTTATTGCAATTCGTGGCGGTGGTAGGGATTCGCGTGGACGTAGTAGGGAGGATGGCAGATTTCCGTTGAGGGGGCGCGTTTACGAAGCGACGTAGCGCGGCGGGAGAGGCGAAAGGCGGCGCGGGAGAAGTGGAAAGCCGGGAAGAGAGAGCCGACGAAGGGAAGAATCGGGGTCCACAACAAAATCGCTTAATCGCTTTGCGCCACCGTCCGCAACGGAACACGGGTCGTCCGCCGCCATCACGGTGCCCCCTAGCGTGCATTTATGTCTTTCTCTTTCTTCGTCTCTCTTCGTGTGATTTGCTACGCCACTCGGTGCCGCGACGCGCGACGTTTTCACGGACAAACCAAGAGTGACAGCTGCCAATCGTCAACGCGGTACGTGCTTCACGCGACGAGCAGCAATTGTCCGTGTGTCATTTCGCGAATACGTAAACTTTTGTGAAAATCCGTGGTTAGTTTGGCCGTTCCGTACGTAGTCGCGTGTTACGAGTGCTACAACCACGGCAAAAGTGAGTGTCTCCTGTGAACCTCGGCACGGGGTTGCCAAACATCGGTTAAACTTTTGCTTCGGTCGTGATTTTGTTCGTAGGTCAGGTGATGGTAAGGTAAGTCTACCGGCAATAATTTTCCGCGATATAATTGATTGTTCCGTCTGGTCGAAAACGCTTCGAACCAGATCTCGCGACGTGTTGTTCAAACACACTGTCCGTCCGATGATAGATACTCACACGTTTCTTCCGTAGCGAGCGTTTCTCGATTTTTCACCTCTTTTTAGCTGGCGC